AGGCACATACTCAAAATCATGTTTATCTTGATTCTAAGAGTACTGCACTTTCACTTTCCAATAACTTAGGCTTGAAATGTCCAATTTCAATGAATGACCCCTCATTTTAAAGATCACATACTTAGGTATCTGAAAATACTAATAACTTGAATTTCAATTTTTCCTACAACTTAGCCATTTTGCCACAACATGCCTCAAATGACAAAGTAAATAAAATTAAAAAATAATAAATAAAAAATAAAATACTACTATCCGTAAAACCTTGAATCAAAGCATGGGCTGAGCTCTTTTTGCAAACTCTGGATGTGCTTGTTTCAAGATAGGCTTCTTTTCAAAATAGGCTTTTTTTTTCTGTGAATTTTGGGAATTACTACTGTACTACAGTATATAACATTGTAATCCAGTAAATCACTGGTTTACTGTTTTCTTGCTTTGTTTTATTTATATTTTACATTTCATTTTCGTAACTTACACTTTACTTTTGTGGGGTGGATTTTCTTCATTTCCATAATTTACTTTGCCATTGTTAGGTACAGTATGCAGATTATTTTTATATTACTAAAATTGTTGACTTTTGTGTACTGTATAATAATTATGTTTTGTATAGATTTAATTTCTGCATTTAACTTTTGCTTTTTTACGATGTACCGTAATGTGTAATTTATAATATTAATTGCAAATAAGGTATCTCAATGCCATAATGAAAAACAGCATTGTACTTGATTTGTGCTTCGTGGATAAATAAAGTTTTACTAATAAATAGGGCCAACTGTAACATCAATCTGTATCACTGAATGTATTAAAAGGCATAAAGTCACTTAAACTAATGTTTAAACCAAGCATGTTTTTAATTTATTCTGTTTCTTTGAAATTAATTTATTGTACAGTATGTAAGGTACTACACCATAAAACCTCAAATTTAAGCCGTGGGCTTCTTCTTTTTGTTACAAACTTTGGACAGGCTTCATTTCGAGATGGACTTCTTTTCGAGGCTACTTTTGCAAAGTAAAGAGGGGGGCTTCTTTTCAAAATGAATGCTATAAATTTTGTGAATTGTAATAAAACAATACATAAGGCCACTGTAACATCAAACTGTATCATGGAGTGTATTTACTGTAACTGGCATTAAATCACCTAAACTACTGTACAAACCAAGCTTGTTTTTAATTTATTTTGTTCATTGGAAATTCTTGTATAGTGTATGTCTGTACTAAGCAGATTTCCATAGAAGTTTGGAAAAGTGCGAAAAAAAGGAGTATATTGACAGATTGATCATAGAAAAAGAAAATAATTGATTGATTGATTTAACTGATGGATAGAATTTAATTATTCAATATCAAAACAGAAATTAGGCCTAAATAAGAAAATGAACACATGTAGTAGAAAAAGTTTTCCTTGCCTTGGCTTATGTACTGGCGCATTTTTGATGCAAACTCGGATACTAAAGATGTCGAAATGGGCTTCAATACGAGATGGGCTTTCTTCCCCATTGGGCTTCTATTCAAGGGTTTACGGTGTAGTATACAGTATGTGTCACCCAATAGGCAAGCTATTTTGAAGCGCAGTAAGCAAGTAACAAACATACGATAAGCAAGTTACAAGTAATGCTGTTGTTCGTCTCAAATGCTACAAATGCACTTTACTTTTTTTCGGTAAACTAACTAACCGCAACGCTGGTTTCAAAGCAAGAAACAAAAGAGAATCCGAAGTTATTATAATTGAAAATATAATAATAATAATTATTATTATTAATTATTATTATTATTAAAGTTATCATTATAAATTATTATTGTTATTTTAATATATTATCATTACAAAATATACATTTAGAAAAAAAATGATCTCTCTCAACCATTGTTGTTGGAGCAGCTGCCTAGTCAGCTGACACAGCGTACACAAAAAAACATATTAGGCATAGGCCTACATTCAACTAAGATTAATAATATAAAATAATAAATTTTGACCAAAAAATATAAAAGTAGTAGGGGTTAGATAGTATAATACGGGATATGACCGGTTGAGCCGCCGACAAGTTGAGCCGCCGGTAATTTCTATGGAACGCCAAGCGCGTCTCTCAGTGAATGTAGTGCGTTTCTCAGTGAATGTACAGTAGTCGGCTTGCCGATGTCATCAGTGAATGAACACCCCGGATACCAGCTACTGTACATATTCATCCCACAGTCTTGTCAGTCGTTGATTTGCTCGTATTGCCGTTCGTGATGTAAAATTGTGTAATTGAAAATTAGAATTTTGATATTTTTATGTATTACATTTTTATAAAAATATATGAAGTTGTATAATTGCAAAATCGTATTAAAAATGTAATTTTATGTACTACATTTTTATAAAAATAAATGAAGTTGTATAATTGCAAAATCGTATTAAAAATGTGTGAATGGCGGCGTATTTCAATTAACTTATTCGTTATTTGTACTATTTTGTTAAATTATTTAATTAAATTATTTATTATATATAAGTTTAACAAATAGTACAAAAATAAAAAGTATATAAATTACAAAACCATTGTAAATACTGTATAATAACATAGGCCTAACACATTTAAATTTATTATTTATTATTCATGCAAAATCGTATTAAAAATGTAATAACTTGATTATTTTAGTTATTTTTTACGTTTGGTTTGCAGCGTATTTCAATTAATTTATTCGTTATTTGTACTATTTTGTTAAATTATTTAATTAAATTATATTTATTATACTGTATATCATTTTATATAATAAATGATAAGAATGTATGGAGTTTTTTTTTTACTATCTGGCAAGCCGACTGAATTAGACAGATGACTATAAACAATAAATTTAAATGTGTTAGGTCTATGTTATTATACAGTATTTACTATGGTTTTGTAATTTATATACTTTTTATTTTTGTACTATTTGTTAAACTTATATAATA